GTGTTCTTTTTGTCCAGCTCCTAGTAGGCCTTCATACTGACAGCGTTACCATTAACTTCTTCATCGCTGGGACGTTTCGTCAACGTTTTTACAGACAAAATTGATTTTTTAAAAACGTTTAGTCATGAGATATTTTAACAAAACCAGTGTCTTTCACCTTAAAAAAAAAGATCAATGTGCGCAGTCGTAATTTTTAAAACAATTTTTCTGTAAACCAGTGTACGAAATGGCAGTGTGAGTGGTTAGTGGGTGCTTTGGTGTGGTTTCCTCATTTCCTATCAAACATCTATCACCTCTCCCCCCTCCTGCTGTTTTGTGAATGTTACTGTCTTGTAACGCCTCTGTCTTTCGGCATTTTTATCACTTAATTGTGCTGCAAGTGCCGTAAAACTCTTATGAAAGCTAAAAAAAAAAGAAGAGAAATGGCAGTTTGGGAGAACACAAGCGAGTATAATACGTCAAGACAGCAGCGAAGATGTAATGTCATCCCCCGAGGCTGTCTCGCGAAATGTGGTATTTATTGGTCATGCCAGGTGGAAATAAATAAGTAAATGAATGAATGAATGAATGAATGAATGAATGAATGAATGAATGAATGAATGAATGAATGAATGAATGAGTAAATATGAATGAATGAATGAATGTATGAATGACTGAATGAATAAATATGAATGAATGAATGAACGAATGAATGAATGAATGAATGAATGAATGAATGATTAAATGAATGAAAGAGTAAAAGCAAACAAAAGATAACCCCGAGCTGGACTGCGCTGTGCTGCTGATATATGTTCATAAAAAAATCACTTCCATTGTATTCCAGACCGCCGTTTTCAAGAGTACCGGTAAATGTAGTTTCCGTGACTTTTATTTGACTCGCATGCGTCTGGGATGTGGCAGCTGGGCGTTTCGTAAAATTATTTAATCGTTATTTGTTCTATTTTGATGAAACGCTCGTGTGGCAGTTTATATAATATATTAATGGAACGATCTGTTTTACCGTCGACCTGCCGTTTGAAGTCACCTTCACTTCTTCCTAAAGACTGTACAGATTACACGCACATGGTACACACAGTTCATGTACTGTATCATATCGCCTCCCCCCCCTCTCTCTGTCTCTCTCTCGCTCTCTCCCCCCTCCCCAACCCCCTCTCTCTCTTTC